AAGGCTTCCAGCTAAGAGCCTTGGATCTCTAGGGTCCAAGAAGGCTCACATCTAGACTCCCAGTCTCCTCCTACAAGGACAAGGCCTTGCACTGCACAGACAGGGCTGTGAGAAGCCCTGGGGGCTGTGCTAGACTGCAGATTCAGGTACAGGGTTTCAGGATAAGTTCTGAGGGGACTTGACTGACCTAGTCAGATACAAAAATTACATTTCTTGATATATAGGTCTTGCTTTATCTTGGTCTTAACCATCCAGCAGAAAAGTGTAGAAACAAAGTATGAAAAGTGAAGCCATGTTAATATGCAGAGCTGAGGAAGGCTCAAGTCAACAGATTTGGACATTGCCAGTCCTGTGGATAACCCACTACTATTGTGGACTACTGGACTATATTGGAATATTTTGCTGAATTCACGCACCTACAATATTTAAATGGCAATGGAATACCCATCTCTGACAAAACTAACCAAAAAAGGGAGATATAAATGAAGGACAATTTTGTATCTCTATATACAAAATAGTTAGGACAGATATATAGCCACTTTCTCTTAATTCAAATAAGAAGAAAAATTTGTACTAATAGTGTTTGGGCAGGATATCATGTCTGCAATTCATGCTATGAATGACTACTACAGAGACAACAATATGCAATGTATTAATTGTTGTAACTCCCCTACCTATCTGTTTTGAAACTCTCTCATCGCAATTTTTTTCTCAATAAAATTAATAAAAAAGAAAATCCAGCCCAGCCATTCCCATGCAGCTGATCCTTAGGATTTACTTAAAGATAGGGCTCCATGCAATGTAGTGGTGCCCAAAGCCACAAGGGGGAGGGAAATCATGTTAAAATTCAGACTCCAAGTTGGTCTGTCTGCAGTGAGTCTTGACTTTACCTGGGGTTTCCAGCAAGTTCCACCATGGGCATGAATGCTAGGGGACATAGACTGCACCCTGAGCAGACTTTGCCACTGAACTGGCACTGCAGCCAGCAATATCTATGTCATCCAGAGCTGGAGAGAGGGGGGCAGTGCCTTGCCCACTTCCCAGCTGTGCTGTAGTATAGTCTGCATTTTACCAAAATGTTGAGGTGATTCTTATGTACATTTGGTTTGAGAATAACAGAACTCAGGGATCCAAATCATGAAATTGTTATTTCCTATCTGAAAGGTCAGATATACTAAGAAAAAAATTATCATTTTAGTTCTAAGATATCTAAAATTCAAGTGAAAGTTAGGCTCGTATTAGAGAAGCAAAGGTAACCAAACTATTTAGAAGGCGACTTCTTAAACCCAAACCTTCTGGCTACCAAAAAAAGCCCCACCTCACTTGGACAGCTGTCACTTCACTCTGTTATCATTACTTCACATGACCATTAGGTCAGCCAATCTGGAAACTCCTACAGCCTGGGGACAGGTGAGTACAGAGTCCAGGTAAATGGATAAAGCTGAGTGCCCTCAGGCAGAAGGCAGGGTGGGTCCACACATTTAGACAGATATGCTCCTGATGAGGATTCTAGCTTTGTCGAGAGATCTGGAGGAGAGAGAAGTCACCACTTATAGAGGCCCAGTACCATGTGATGTGTACAACCCCATGATAAAGATCATTTAGCTCAAGTTAGCTGAGGATGTTTATTTCAATAACTTGCAAAAAGGGGAAAACTAAAAGAAAACAAAAAGTTACCCAGGGTGCCAGAAACTCAAAGAAAAGGGAGAACACACACTTAACTCACAAAACAGTTTTAAAGAATTTTTAAAATGTAATTGGATAAGCAGTCTGACTGAATGTGGGGAACACACCCAAACAATTAGGCTCTGTGAGATTCTGTGTGCTTTCTGTCACCTTCCGCTGTGTTTACATGGCTCTCGGTCAGGAGGAAACTGCTTGCTGCAGACCACTGCTAGCATCTGCAGATCAATAGATCAAGGAGCAGTCAAAGGAGATAGGAACCATCCAGGAAGCGGCTCTGGCACTGATGAATGCAGACGGGGCCGATGCAAATCCTGTGTTCCATTAGCATTTTTGTGGACCTAGCAATTTCTAAAAACAATTTTCAAGTCACAGGATATGCAGGGAGTGTCTGGATTTCTTTCTGAGAAAGCCTCTAACATCACAGTCTCCTGCCCCACTCCAGCTCCTCTTCACCCCCATCATCCTGAGGCTCTGAATCTCCTCCTGAAGCCCTACTGGTGGCTTTATCTGAGTCAGAGCTGTATATTTTAGTGATCATAGAGCCTATGTTCCAGGCACTTCGGTGCTTTACTGAATCCTCACAATCAACTTTTGCTTGTTTAGAAATAAAGCGATTAAAGCTCAAAGAGATGACAGAATCTGCCCGAGGTTATAGAGTGCCAAATGCAAACTACAAGACTCCAACCTACATCCGTTCAAAATCCGAGCTCTTCTGGCCATATCATTCTGCCCTTTTTCTCTCCCACGACACCCTCGTCTTGCCAGCCAGTGTGCTCACCCTAGCTCTTCCTCCCGAGAATGGGATGAGCATCTTGGGGGCCCTTACCTCATCTCCCCACTTGAGGTCCACTGTCCCAGGCTACCTTCTGCATTTGATAGCCACAGCCTCGGCACCTTTCCAAATAGACTTTCTCTCAGAAGTTTCAAATGGATGTTGTACTACAAAATGTGTACACTAGAGGTTATGAATAAAGCCAAACATGTTGCCAATGTTCTTTTACGTTCAGAAGAATCAAGAAAAATAAAGGCAAGCCCTAAAGGATAGTCATAGCATGTTGATGAAAGGTGTTTCAACATCGGTACCATATGATAATCATTTGTCTCTGGCCCATCGTTCCAAAATTCATGTGCCATCTTGCCAAGTCGATGACAAATAATTTTATCTGAGTATGGTTCACCCTGAAGAGATGCATAGACACAAATTCTGAATGCAGAGACCTCTGCATGCCTTTGTTAGAGCATGCGAATTTATAGAGGACTCTATCTGATTTTGAGGAACATCTCTTTTATTGCCTCTCTGTGTAATACTGAGGAATTTTAATACTACAAAATCAGAATTATTGATTGAAAGTCAGATGAAGGTGACTTTCGTCAAGGATCTGTTGCCAGCATCTCCACATAATGCCTTCTGGGGAAGAGGAGAGTCCTTCCTGGAGACAAGTGAATATTTTGATTTGAAGATAAATCCCAAGCACACTGGAAGTCATGCTGGCAAGGGTAACCTAGAAAGCTTGCCTTGCTGCTGCCAGCTGCAAAAGGGCTTCTGCCCTGCCCCCACTTGCCTTACCTCACTGCAGACCATGAAATGGAGCCAGCAACCCCAGGCAACACAGACGTGACAACAGCTCCTCCTTAAAAGAGGCCTGCGATCTTCCGTATCTTGGTGTGAAGAGCAGGACAGAGGGTTTCACCAACTCTTCACTTGGAAAATATTGGTCTTTATGTCCCTGAACATTCATTCATATATTAAGCACTCTTGTGACATTTTAGGGCATCTTCCTAAACCTAACTTCCTTACAGTAAGTCCTTCTGAAAGAAGGTTTACTGAGTTTATTGATTCTCTTTGGCAAACTTGCGACTCCTGGATTTGGACAGATTAACCACTGTAAAGATTTCCTATACCAAGTCAGGGGACATTACCTGGAAATTCAAAAAGATTTTCTTAAACTTCAGAAGATAAGAAACAAGAAGAAGGAAAGGAAGAAGGGAAAGAGAGGGAGGGAAGGTAGAAAGGAAGGAAAGGAAGAAGGGAGGGAGGGAAGGAGAGAGGAAGGAAGGAAGGAAAGAAGGAAGAAAGGAAGGGAGGGAGGGAAGAAGGAAGGGAAGGAAGGAAAGAAGGAAGGAAGGAAGGGAGGGAGGGAGGGAGGGAGGGAGGAAGGAAGGAAGGAAGGAAGGAAGGAATAGGAGAGAAGGAGAGAGAGGGAAAACAAATCATGCAGAGCACATATTTCCAAAACTAAAAGGACAAAACAATTCAACTAACATATATTATCTTTATTCTATAACAGAGACATAAATAATTTTATGAATTCATATGATCTATACAAAAGACAAAATAAGATATTGCACTAAATTTAGATATGGATATTTGGATTTGATATTAGTTAAACAGATAAATATGTACAATTTAAGGAGTTAAGGCAAAAACCAGATGATGCTTAAAACATAACAGAAGGCTTGAAAAATAGGTATAATTAAAAACAAGGATGTCCCATCTGCAGTTAATAAAGTGGTCATGTCTAAGGGAAAAAAATCCCCTGCTTTTTAATAAAGCGGTTATTATCAATCATGTTAATTAAAGTTGAGCAATAAAGTATAAGATTTTCTGTGGAGGGGAGATGTTTTGCCAAGGTTTGGGGACTGAGCACTTATAATTCGGGTAAGCAACTTTTCCCTTGTCAGATTTATGATCTATTTTTCCTATTAGAAAATATAATTTGGAAAATATGACTCTTTCACATAGATAATTAAAATACAACTATGAAGAAGTGTTCTTTCTCTCTAGTTTTAGGGAAATCACATCAGTAATCTCATAGTCAAGGTAAATTTCCAGACAAGCCATTCATTACCTTATTTATACAGAAAACACAATGCCCGTCACTGAGGAGCAATCCCCAGCTGAATTAAGAGAACAAAACAAGCGAATTCCAAAGCAATAAAAACAAGTGCAACCAGCAGAGCACACAGCTCTCCGGCAGCATCACGCTGACCATTATCCCAGTCAGAGCTCCAGTTTTCTGATTCTCAGACTCAGTTGCCAGTCTTTAAAAAGAAAATAAAATGCCACATCTGCAATGAATTGAGTAATGCCATGAAATTAAACTCAGAACAAACCTGGAGACAGTTGTTGACTGTTACATTTAAGCATAGATAGGTATCATCTGCTGGGAGTCCCGACTCAAACACACCGAAATGTGCACACACAAAAATAATCCATGAGACTTTGTATTGGTTCAGAATCCTTAAAGAGAGTCCATATTCACCCATGAGAAACCAATAAAGGACATCGATCCAAAGATGAAAATATGATCTTCCAGTAACTCGGGGTAGGCTGCCCCTCACCTGGATAAACGCCGCGGAGAAATCAATTTCTATAGGGGGAACACCAGAAAACCGGAGAAGGTGGAATACTGCCAGCCTCCAACCAAGTTACCCTTCTCAAGTTTTAGGTACACCTTATCCTCTTTGTCCAGGTAGAGCAGGACTCCATTTGTGGCGGCTTCACGTGTGACATCTTTGTCCCCAGCAAATGCAGATATTACTGGTTTTCCATTTAACATCAAGTTAACCTAGAAAAAACTAAAATCACTGAAAAGCTCCCTTTAAAGTTAAACACCAAGCTGGAGACACAGTTCAGCAGTGCAGAACTTGCCTGGCAGGCACATGTGAGTTTAAAATAATAATAATAATAATAATAATAATAATAAATATATATATATATATATATATATATATATATATATATCCCATACTTGGCATGAATGATGTCTAAGATGATAGACCTAGTAAAATACCCCCTTTACTTTTAAATTAGCCAACTCTGGAATCAGAGTTAAGACACTATCTACTTGATTTTTTAAATTTTGTCCTATAGAAATTTACTAAAAATTCCTACAAAATAATCTATAGAGCAACCTAGTCATATGAAAACCGGCTTCCCTTTAGCATACAAATTAAGCTTAATACTTTTTTATTTCTTCCACTCAACAGAAATCTTTTGGTAATGAAGTAGGCTTCTTAGGACCTGCTAAACTTAGATACAGCCAGATTCTGCTAATACCTTTTTAAGGTGTCTGTACACCCGTATCTGGCATATCAAGAAAAACCACGTGAGATAAATGTGTGCAGATCAATTTTTTTCTGCTTTTTCTGGTCAGAAATGTGCATTAAATATATTTACCACTATTACTGGAGAGCTTAGTGATAGAAAATTAGTATAGAATTAACTCAAACTTTTATTAACTTTTTTCTGTACTATAGTTCCCATTACACTGTAGAAAATGTTACATATACTTGCAAATATTAGAGACTGGAGAACATTTTTGCCTGGAAGCAAAATTGCTTCCTAAATATTCGCTCCTTTTATGTTAAAGATCATATTAAAGAAGGTAAATCTGAGATTGATCAATGTATCTACTCACTAAGATATGTAAAGCTGGGAGAAGAGTAGATAATCTGCCATTTATGTGAATACAGTACATGATGTAATACTGAGCACAAATATTATCTTAGAATTCCATAGACACACATGAACACTGTTTAATATTAGTACACTTGACTATTATAGGAAATAGTTCTATTATGGCCTTTGCCTGAGAGATCAAGCTCATTGCTATAGAAGGTGAGAAATATGCCACGCTATTGAAAATGTAACTGCAACTACTCCACTAACACCTAGAGAGCCCAGGATACCCTAAAATATAAGCATAGCTCCTGCTTTTCAAAAAGTATAGTGAATAGTTGTTCTTTGATATGTTTAATAGTTAAATATGTCTTATAATTTTAAATGATAGCAAATTTGCTTTATGCAATATGTATTTGTAAAGCTTTGCTAGTTTTGATTTTTTTCTTTAAAGTATATGTAATTTTTGCACATGCATTAAATGAAATCAACATTGTAAAAAGAAATTCGTGTCCCTGAATTTCTACCAAACTATGCTTTTAAATATTTGGTTGAATGCAAGTAATAAATTCAATTGTTCATCTTTTTACATGATTTTGTCACACACCTTAGTGGATGATATAGAGAAGAAAACTGGGAATTAAGTGTTTCAAACAACAAACTATAAAGATAGCTGTTCATTTTCACAACATAAACACATCTTTGAATAAACACTTAAACAAATAACCCACTAAACATAAACACAGTTGTGTGGGAGCAGAGACAGAGTGGGTCAAAACACATACCTGGATTGTTTGGCTCTGGTAGACTTTAATTACATGAAAACTGAAACTGTAGATTCCTTTCCGTGGTGCTACAAAGACAGACTCTAATGTGAAGAAATTACCCACGTTAACTAGGATCTACAAATAAAAACAATAAAAAGTAAATTATTATAGTATTTTCTTCTGTAAGTTAAAATAATTTTCCTTTTCTGCTTTCCTACACACCTTCCATCCTGTCTCTTTCTTTTTTTTTCCTTCCTTCCTTCTTCAACAGCTAAACTCAGAAACCATAAAGAATGAAATACTTAATTCTATTTCTTTTGCATGACTTGGAAATGGACTTGTTTATTGAAAGGTTCTCCCACTTTTTAAATGGTATAGGAAACATAAAAATTACTGCTCCGTATCTATGCCTCAATTTCCAGCAAGACCTGATGACTTTGGAAATATCAAGGTCCCGTGTAAGACTTTGCCTTGAGAATCAGATAAAATCGTCTGCCATGAGCTTACTTCCCCCACTGCTCACAGGCCTTCCAAATGTCCAGAAGTGACGCTGCCACACCAGCCAATCGACATCCATGTCTCTCTACAGTCATTCCTGGACACATCACACAGAGGCCTGGCTTCCTTCTCCACAGTGTGACATAATGTGTCACACAGCACTGTTGGTGCATGAAGTGACATGAATGCCATGCCTGTCCCCGAGCTTCTGCCAGTGGTTCCCTAAGATCCAAGACCACTATTTTAATTTCTGTGCCATGTAAGCCTAATTATAATACTTTGGCAATGAGTCAGCCCTTTGCTCATTGCCAAAGAGTGGAGCATGACAGAGTGCAATAGGTGGTCTTTCGGTGTTCCTCTCCGTGCTATGCCTTATCTGCTTTCAATCACCAACTGAGTATTTAAAGTTCAAGGAACAAAATTAGATGCTTTTCCAAAAATGCAACAATGTGCTTTGTATTTCTGGATATTCACCTCATTTCCTCAGGTGATAAAATTAATTTGAATTAAGTGACTTCTTAGGCTGACTTTGCAAAGCCACCTAGGCAAATCCTGCCTAAGAAAAAGAAAGAGAGAGAAGTGGGGAGCACTAAAATAACAAAAGTTTCCTCCGTGTCTCCCCAAGAAATAAATCTGAAAGTAGAACCCACAAAATCATATGTCCCTATAAGGCCATATTTCCTTTATACCCATAGCAATGTGCTACTGTGTCTTTTAAACATTGGCTTCTTCTCAAACTTAACACATTTTTATACCTCTTGCATAATTTCCTAAAAGCGTACCATTACCTTGGACCAGTCTGCACTACAGGATAGAGGTAACAGGCTCCACACTTGCTTGCAAATACAAGCATGTGTGTGGTTTTCCTGAGGCTCCACCTTCTTCCCAGTAGACATCAAATTTCTTTTCTCTGACCTGATGATAAAGTCTTCCAACAACCAGGCACCAGCTGAGCAATAATCCCCAACAGAGTCTTTACAGAGGATTTTTTAAAGCACATTTAAAATAATTTAAGGTGTTTAGCAGGGACTTCCTGATTCAGATACAAGTGGCATTATTCATTAGGAGTCATGGAAATGGCTGCTTAGTGTTGACTATACATAAAGATGGATGTTGGCTCTACATTATAATAGGAACATCCAGGTGTATCAGGATGTATAACTAAAACTGTCTTCTTGTCTCTGTGATGCATCACTTGAGAACAGAAGTGATGTTCCTCTTCTAATTGACAGGAAGGTCACTGAAAAGAACACCCCATACAGATGATAGTGCAATGCCTACAGAATTCCAACATTTAATTAATGCACTGAACTACAACCAGAGGTGGTGCTAGACTTTATTTCCATCACTGTGGAAAATACTGCAACCCAAACCCCAAAGGGGCTATTTAATTCATTTAAAATTATAGCTGTCCCATAGAAAACCCCCAGAGAGGCATTTTCTGTCTTCGGTCATCTGCAGGGATCATCATTTAGGAAAATGAAGACAGGAAGACAAGTGTCATGTCACTCCTTCTCTGATACATCCTGCAGCACCACTGGACCTGGGTTCCTACACCTGGTTCTTTGCCCACAGCTGTGAACTATGACTTTAGAAATGAAAAGACTCTGTGTACAGTTAGAGTTGGAATTAAACTCTAAAATCAGTTTCCTTCCCTACGACGATTTCCTCGAGCTAAGCTGATGCCCTGGGGTTTCTCATCATGCCAAACCGCAGAGCTCAGAGTGGCTAAATAGAAGCCACAGCTTTCATCAGTCCTGCCCCTCATTCCCTACCTTTCAGCTCCAAGTCTGTGGCTCCTGCAATTTGCAATTCTCTGAAAGGACAGAGGCCAACAAGGGGAACCAGTTCCCCAGAGCTTTTCTGTCAGAGCTCAGCAGAGTTACCCAATTCCTTTTCCTCCCTGGCAAGCAACTTTTATCTAAGTCCTGGAGACAGACTGGCTTCCTGCTTACTCCGGGCAGTAGCAGCCCCATGCAGAACGCATTTGGGGACCCTGGTCTTCGAAAGGGAAGTGAAATCTGACTTCTCACCACCACCACCCCGTCCTCTGAGGCCACCTGCCTGATCTCTGTAGGGAGGCTGGAGCCCCGGAGCTCTCTTTGGCGAGAAGCTTCTCCACCTAGAGAAACAAATCAAACATTTTTCCTGCGTTTGCGAGAGCACCACGTGAACAGTCTCGCTACACCTGCAGAGCATTTTGAGCCAGGTGTCCAGCGTCGGGCCACAAGATCGCGGGGTCCAGGGACCAGATTCCCTTCAGTGTCTGTTGACCTGTTGCTTCTAAACTTGTCCTGAGCTCTTGCTGCCCGCGTCTGCGCTCCCAAGCCTCTCTACCACTGTGCAGGCAGCATCTGTTAGAGACCAGGGGGGAATGGAGCCCGGGGTTGGAGGAGGGGGCATCAGAAGTTTTAGACGCTGATACGTCTGGGGAACCCTGTGCCTAAAAGACCCCCGTATCCCAATCAGACAAGCTTAGTCCCCGCAGTGAGCCCCAGTCAGAGATGCCTGAGACCGCCCACCCTCTTGGTCCCCTGCATGCCTCAGAGTCTGACCTGATCGAAGTAAATGATACGCGTCTTGTTGCTCATCTCGGATGGCTCGTGGTTGGTGCTCCTCACTGCCGAAAAGGCCACCTTCGAGTTGGCCGCCCGGACCGATATTCCCAGGGGAGAGGAAGAGGAGCCCTTGGAGTCCGTAGCCGGATTCGAGTCGCACACCACTAGACACTTGCCCTCCAGTACAATGGGCTCGGTGTCGTTCTGCGCCCAGACGGGCAGCTCGGGCAGCGTGAGAAGCTGCAGAACGGTCAGCACCACGGACAGCGCCCTGCGCGGGGAGCCCATGGCGTCGCCTGTTAGCTCGGGATCCCGGCGCTCGGAAGACGCCAGTAGCTGCTAGATCGACAGCGCTGTAGGAGCAACCGGGGTCGCGGCGCGCACACTTCCACCGATTCTGTGGGTCAGAGTCTCCCCTCGAGCTCTCTCGCTGGCTCTGTTGCCTTTGTCCTTTGAGGAGCTCATGCAGAACCCTTTGCCCTGCACAATTCTGTTCCTACAGTCAGCCCTACCCGGGGCCCCTGCAGCCACCCGTGTTCCTAGACATCTACTAGTCGCCAAACCCTCCCAATCACGTCTCAAAGGAAAAACGAATCTCACCCCAACTCAAGCACCCTCAGGTGAACCACGGAGTAGGAAAGGCGGGGGGTGACGGTGCCCAGCGGTACGGGTGATGGTCCTGCGCTAGTGTGGCTTACGCGCGGGCGAATTACACGGGCAGCAGGCACTTCCTGGACCGGGAAGAATGCGAGGCTGTGTTCATGGCCAGGGCGTCAGCGACTCCCGCTTTCGCTTGGTCTAAAATTCCTCAAAGCCTGGTGTCACTCCGATGTAGGTAGGCTGCGGTTTGTTGAGTCCCCAGACAGAAAGCACCCCTTCTCGGGGTCAGTTTCAGAGTGCCTTGCTGCGTGGCTGGGCTCCCCGGGTCTTCTCTTTCTCCAGTCCCAACGCACAACTTTGTCTCTGCTCGCGCCGCCGGGAGAGCGCAAAACGGGCACACGCGCGCTATTTATAGGAGCGCGGCGTCCAGCTGGGGTTGGCTCTGCTCAACCCTGCGACTCTGGGGAAAGCGGGCTAATGCGCCCAATGACTCCAACCGAGCAGTTCCTGTCTGACGATTAACGTACCCCAGAGTGAGCAGGGTGCACAGTACTGCTTGTAGTAGAGGTCCAAGGCCACTCAGTCCCGTGAGCGCGCGGCACAGAGGGCGGATGCCCAGAGGAAGGCTCCCGAAGCCCCGCGCCTGCCCCAGTTCCGCTCCTGCTCGCCCCCTTCTCGGTCTGGGTGGCGGAGTTGCTGTGGCTCCCCTCGCTCCAAGCGCCCTCGGAGTGGAGCACGGCTCTGCCAGTCCTGCTGCTGCAGAGATGGAAGAGCCGCGGCGAATCCTCCCTGCGAACTGCCTGGAGCCAGGGATCCTCCGGTGTAGCCAGCGCTCCTGGCTAAGAGCCAGTCTCACAAAATCCTGGGGCCTGGCGTGTTCAGGGAAGCCTCGAAGCACACCAGGGCCCTGGGGGTGGCTGGGAGGAGGTGCCCTGCAGAATTCCTTCCGCTCAGGGAAGATGCTCCTCAGAAGCCGCAGGGGCGCGCCAGCCCACTCACGGAGAATCCACCCCAAGCAAGGCCAAATGAAGAGGGGAAGTCAGCTCAGCCAGGATAAGTCTTTAGAAACCTTACCCACTTGAGAAGCAAAAGAAGAGGGCAGCACCTGAGAACACAGCAGCTTCCTCCCCTTTGATGTGGCTCCCTTCTCCCTGGGCTGCCCTACTCCATCCTGGCCTTTGAATGTTATCTTCCTTTTCCGTAGCCACCCCAGGAAGGGAAGGGGAGATTTGTGTCTGGGATGGGGTGTACAAATTTGGCGATGTCCCTTATACTCTCTGAAAAAGGTATCATCCGCTAAGACCTTCTCTGATTTCTTCTGAGTTCTGAGGTGTTTTAGGGTCACAGCCCTCCCACCAATTTCCTGCTTGACTCCTAGATGCCACGGGGCAGACACTACATCTTTAATTAAGACAACATCCTCATCCACAACGCTGGCCATTCAGAGCTCCTTGAATTGTGTGGACATGAAGGATGATTGTTGAGCCACATCCTTGAGAAGGATGGCTGATCATTATTTCCTGATTAAGGAGTATCCAACCCCCTCCACAGTGCAAGCTGGACCTGTCTCTAGCCTTGATCCTTGAGGTCCTTAAGGGGGCTGAGTATGTAGCCACCAGCACCATATTGCAATTCCAGTTTAAATAGGAGATGTTTCCACTGGTTGGTAATTCCTCATCTCCCACCTTCCTATCATGTTTTAACTAAAGGTTTGGTACCCAGAGCCAGGGGGGCCTCCAGATGCTTCCTCATGTGAGTAGCATCAACTCTGGGTGGCAGGTGCTGGTACCATGCTATTCGTTATTATGTTGAATATCACTAACCTAAGCAGTAAACAAATTGGTGAACTGGTTGGAGCCTTCTGAAAATGGCCATCTTCTGCCCAACACTGATGCATCACCGTGAGCCTCAAAGCACTTTCCACTGAACCCTCTCTGAGTGTGACTCAGCTTTTACCATGATCTACCTAGATGACAGCCCCAGTGTCTTCCCCTTAAATGCTGACTTTTGAAGGCAGGTGTAAAACTCTAATTTGGTTCCTTCCTCTTTCTCTCCTGTAGGTGTAGGGGTAAGCAGTCTGCCTTTCTTGTTCAAGACAGCTGTTTAGGAACTCAGCTTTGGTGTTATTCAATTTCAGGCTGGGAAGAGTTTGCCAAAAAAAAAAAAACTGTGATGGGTACAGAATTGTTAAGGATGCTTTTGGGGAGTACCAGGCATCAAACTCTGCACCTTGCACTGTGTCACTAGCTAAATCCTCTAGAATTGTTAAGCATGCAGTAAGTTATTTTCCCTATTGACCCCAATATAATCTGTCTGCATCATTATCTTCTTTAGGCATTTTCTTTCTGGAGAACCATATTTGAAAGAACTTCTTTCTCTCCTTAACCAAAAAATATTCATTTGTAGCACCCAAATCTAGCAGAGTAACCATATTAGATTCTCAATAATTAAATAAAGAATGGCTGGATATTTTGCAATAGGATGTAACTTATCAGCCATTCATCTTATATAGCAAAAACTAGTTTAAATGAGTCCCAGTAAAATTTAAAATCAAAGCTTCTTGGATAATTTGAGATGAAGGTCTCTGTTCCTTGTGTTCTATGAGACAAGGCAGTCTGATAATGGAATACAACGTTTTCTGTTGTCTCTTGCTATAAGAAGCTTTTGGATATCATGAGTCACAGGGCCATCGATTTTCTCACCGCAGTTGATTGAACAGGGAGAGCCTCCAGGTTCTTGGGTTGTCAATCTACTTGATAACAGAACTCAGTGACTTTTACTGCCTGACTTCGCCACCTGAGTTGGGGCTTTCCACTTTTCTCTTTCTGGCACCTGAATGAAACTCCAAGGTGTTCCTGAAGCACAGGTCCTACAGAAAGGAGGTCCACATTCTCTCCACCTGTGTGGCCATGTAGGTGTCACCTGGGAGCTTAAGAGAGAGTTGTAGGAAATGGGAGAGCTGGTCAACCACACTTGAAGATGAGCCAGCTACAGTGACTGAGCACTTCCGAGAGACAGAGAGAATAAACAATGACTCTCAGTATTGAATTCCTCTTCACAAAGGTCCAGTAACTCTTCCTCTAATCTCAGGTTTCTTGAGATCCCCCTGTATCCTTTTATCAAAATCCCTTCATTGGATTGCCTTTTAGTAACCTACCATTCCCTGTCAACTGTAGGTCCCATTAGAATAGTGTTTCTGCTGTAAAAGGTCAGGTGTCTCTTCCAAAAGACATGAACAATCAATCTCCTGCCTCTGGAAAATGTTTCCTGAACATTTTCAGAAAGGAATCATTACCTACTCCTCACCCTCTACTGTAGTTCCAGCAATTCCAGGAGAAAAGAAACAGGATCAGGCTCAAGTTTATCTCCGGCCAGAGCCTAGTCTCTCTTTTTCCTTTTTTTCCCTCAGTTAAAAATATTTTATTAGAAAACTTAGCTGTGACCCAAATATTTCTCTTTACTGAGAATCCCAGATTGTATTTGAGGCCCAAGAAAATTTTTTTTCTGGACTTTTAGAGGTGAGGCAAGAATGAATTTCATTTCTCTGCAGTTGGGCTCAACTTCGAAGTAAATTAGAAAAAGAACTGATTTTGCATGAGAAAGCAAGCCACTCTAATAGTCGGTAAGTTCAATGACTGCTTATCCAACCATCCCTTAGAGAATTCAAGATTTTGGCAAGTCAGAGAGAGGGAGGACCCATGAGCAGTTTTCTGCTTCTGAAGAAATTGTCTGTAGGAAAATAGTCAGGCATACAAGGTACTCAGCTCTCAGGCCTCATTTATGACTGAACACAGAAGCCTCCATGTATCAGGTAGCAGCAGCCACAGCTCAGACTCCAGAAGGTGCAAGACCAAGCTCTGGTGTGCAGTGAGGCTCAGGTCACAGCCAGAGGAAGGGCCACCAAGTGCCTCATGACTCTTTTCTTCTACAGACATAGCTATCATCCCAAGTAAGTGCTGTCTTTCGAGGAAGAGTAAGTAGCTTAAGGAGAAAAGGTCTTGATGAACACCATTGTGTGAGAACTAGAAAATCACAGATTGATTGGATAAATCTCTACAGCTCCTATATGGCAATGGTGTTGGGAAAACCAGATGCAAGGCAGAAAAATCTTATTTAGTTGGTTTTAGAATTTAAAACTTGAGACAGTTCCTCTATATATCAGTTGCACCAAACCTTTTACAGCTTACAGTGTCACAAACAGCCCACTGCAGTGCACATGCCACAAGTTCACTACCATGGCTCTATGTAGCTGTTTTTCTCTTATCTATGCTGAGCCAAAGAGACATGGGTCTAAGATGTCACAGAGTGGTAAGATTTCCTGGTCTGCCCTGCACACTAGTTTCTTCTACTCCTTTTCCACAATATCCTGTGCTTATCCCAGTACAATTGTTTAAATTGTTGTGGTTGAGTTTTTCATGAGCCATTAACTATTTAGGAACACTGAATGTAGGTGAAAGTAGAAATTAATTACTTATTGATAAATCAATTGATAAATATGTAATAAATACAGTAATGACATCGCTCATATTTCGTATAGGGAAAACACATGACATTAAACCACAAGGGTAAAAGTATGATTGGAAAAGTAAAATCTTCTCCGAAAATTGGGGGAAGTTGAAATGTTTAGTCTACCCTTAGTAAGAATGGAAGTTCAATGAAGCACAGATTCATAGGAAGGATCACATAGTT